CAGAAAGAAGATTGCTTATCTGGACCAGATATCACCAAGAGACTGTCCCTTAGAAAGGGGACGTCTTAGCCACTATAGCAATCTCCTACGCCTGGAACCCTTCACGCCATATATGCTTCAGCCAGTTCTCACCATGGTAGCTTTGCTCCGTTAGCTTTGCTTAATTGGGCATTGCAAGTCCTTCCTTGAGAACTGAGCCTCGGCCACTGAAACTGCCGGGCCCCTTTATCCAGCTTGGGGAATAAAAATGAGATTTCACGTAGCAAAGCTGTCAGTAACAAAACTGGAGAGAAATGCTGAAGTGCTGTGCAAATGCATTAGCCGGGGCGCATTATGCAGCGGCTGGTTCTTAACACTAGAGATGAGCTTCTAGCTAAGGAATGGGATGGCAGTTTTTAAAAATTATTATTTAAATAACAAAGTCAGCATTCGGGCCTGAAGTTAGCCGCACCTGCAGGAAATGAGTCCAAATTTACCCTTCTTTATATTGTCCGCACCTGGGCCCCAGGATTTAACTGCATCATTTGTGGCTTTGACATGAAAATGCCTTTCTTATTTCCCTTTGATGGGTTTTGTTTCTGGTGCTCAAAGGTTGACTGTCAGAGTGTCACCGGGCTGTACTGATTGCAGCTGACAGCCGGATTAGAGCACATTTAAACCATTGTGAAATGCCTCTGCTGGAGAGAGGGGACACATCCGAGGATTCGTTCACAAACAGGAACAGCTCAGGAGCCACTGCAGCCATCCACAATAGGAAGACAAGATCAGGACCACTTGTGCTGCCACAGAGTTCTTCCCACCTGAAGGATCTTTGCACCTAAAAGGGGGTCCCAGCTACATGTCCTAAATCAGCAGCTTGGTTTTTTTAGAGAGATGAGCAATTGCATCTCTCCCCCGAACAGAGGCAGCTGCAGATGCTGGATCACCTGTGAAAGTCAGCCTTCTTTTATTCAGATGTCCAGCTATTGGTGAGTTGCCTAGCAGAGGGGTGCAGAGCTCAGGGCCATCAGTCTGGGGCAAGGTGAAGGAGCCGACTTTCTGGGAGCAAAATCCAGGTGTTCCGTAAACTTTGCAAACTTGAAGTAGTTTGTACCATGGCTGGATCCAGTTAGTGTGGCTATATTAGTGTAAAGCTACGAGTGGGCTAACGACCACTGCTCCAAGGACTCTGTGGCTACTTGCTGAAAAAAAAGCAGCCTGGGCATGTTCAGGTAGCACTTGGGAAACCTGTGTTTGCTTCCCTGCATGGCCCTGGGGCAATTAATGAAGTCCAGTTTGAAATACCTTTGAGGATCTGGGCCTTCCTTTCTTTAAGCCTCGGCTCAGATATCGTTCCCCTACCCTGTGGGGATTTCTTATGAAAATAAAAACCCACTGAAGATTGTAAATTATTCTGGTGCTGCTTTGATAGAGGCCAGATAAGCCAGGCATTAACCATGCTTGGCAATCTGTAGCTTCATCAAAGTGATCAGAAACTGCTACACAAGAGGTGGCTGCACTAGCCTTTCATCCCACTTCAGTCCCTGTTATCACCCTAATCCATACCATTAAGGCTGCCTACCCTTAAAATACTAGTAGGCACAGCAGTCTCCATTAGTCAAGAGCACAGCAATGTATCAAGGAAGCTCGTTCTTTCAATCCTTGGCTTATAAATTGGTCTCTTGGGTCCTGTGTGCTTCCGGATTCTCCCCTATGAATCTTCTGAAGTTTGCCTCTAACAATTCTCTGTATTCAGAAAATGAGTAAGATAAAATGATCGGGAGGCAGCAGCAAAACAGGACGCTCTGAAGCTGTGCTGACTCGGACCAAAGAAAGCGCTCCTCTCCTTCCAATCATAATTTCACGACTAGGCTAAAGTAACAAGAAAGCCCCATCAATGGGTGTTGAGGCTCGGTGCTTGGCACTGACATTTATGCAACGTTATACGTAAATGATGAGTAACCCCTCCACGTGCTGAATGGCCCTCAGAGCTTTCTCTTCAGGTTTATTCCACCCAGCTTATGTCCCGACAGATTGTCTTTACATGTAGAAAATAGGAGGGTTTTGATGCTGAGAACAACTGGGATTCTGCCTTGCCGGACATGGTTACAACCGGACACTGTGGGTTACTCATTTAAACCCTTTAGGCACAGTGCAGCAGGCAAACAAAGAGCACACACTTAGTAAAGGAATCGTTTCACCACAGGCACTTTACTCTTAAACCACTGGAGGGGTACAAATCTTTGAAAACAGAAGTCTAGAAACACGCCTGTCCCGTGTTGATGTTCACTCATCCTTTGGAGTCCACAGAGGAACATTTCAGTCTATGGGGAGTCCCCGCTGCAAGTCCTTCTTACCTGCAGCAATGGTTATTCCCCCCTGCTCAGAGCAAAACACCTTCTTGAACAAACCTCTTCCTGTGCTGTGTGTTGCAAAGGAGGCACCAGCCCCCTGCACTCATCCCCGACCCACTCCTCATGGTGACCCCAGTGTAGAAAGTCCGTCGTTCCAAGGCCGAGACAATCCTAGGCAATGGCCCTGAGTTGCAGTCTTGGTAACTCAGTGGTCGTCATTCAACAATGCATCCAGCCCCTCTCCTGTGCAGGGAACCTCCCAGGTACAGGGCATAACAGGCAACTTTGAACGTGTGTGCACCATGTAGTACAACACAGAGTCCATAACTTGATAGCGGCATCTCCCTGTCTGCCATCATAACCGAGAACAGAAATCTGCCCTTTGCACATTTTTCTTGTTTTGTCTTCTGATAGAAATCCTGTTCCTCCCAGCTTCCCCTGGAGTTCACAGACCTTCAAGTGTTAGTGCTCTTGTCCTCCAAGCATACTGGCATTTCCACCCAGCATTTCAATGACAAGGGCCTGCGCACCCAGAGGATTCAGTGGGAGGCTCTATGGCCTCTTGTCAGTGGTATATTTTGTAAGTGCTAATCTTATAGCTTCATTGATTCTTCTTCTGTCATATGGAGGGGGAAAGCAAGCCAGAGGGTGAACTGCCCATTCACTCTTGTGGCAGGCGCTGGTTCAAAGTTTGTAAGTGCCTTCTAGGATGGACGCCTTATGGACTCCAAGCCTTTAATAAGCTGGGTGTTAACAAAAGAGTTTCTTCTCTAACATTCTCAATCTTGGCCAGAGCATTAATGGCAAGATAAAAACACATAAATGAGAAAGGAGCTAATGAAGACCTCCCCCTGTGAGCAACAGGAGACAGCTGTGCTATTCCTTCTCTCTTCATTACATTGAACAGGCTCTGAAAGAATATGGGAGTCAGAAAAAGCTTTCTTCGGTGAATATAAATTGTGAGTGACACAAAGGTATTGTTACTAACGGAGGAAAAGTGCTTTCCTCCCACGCTCCTCCTACAGTCTCATTCAGTCCCAGATACCTGCAGCATTTGTGCAGCCAGTAGTGGAGTGTCTGGCTATCAAATTAAGCGTGTTGTGTAGTCTGAAGAGAAATTGGTGCACGTGCGCACACGTGTGTGTGTGTGTGTGTGCGCGCATGTATCTGCATGTGTGCAACTTTGCAACATTGTTTCTGTCTCTCCCCGGTTTATCTTCTAACTTACAAAACACTGAGAATACAGATAAGTGTATGCTTTAAATATCTATTTCCCCGAACCCCTTCCTAAACAAATCCCTTCACTGAAATCAGTCAAGGGGAAGATAAATGTTCTTGCAGAAATATGCCATATTATTTCTGGCACTTGAAGAACCTCAAAATAGATATGGAAAGAACTGAACGGAGGATGAAGTCCAGTTTGTTCCAGCTCAGGGGGTCAAATGCTGCTTGCTGGGGTAAATCCAGAGTAACTCTTCCAAGATTGTTGGAGTTAATCCCGATTTGCACTGGTATGGATGGACCCCAGGGCTTAGTTTAGCAAACAAGACATCCAGCAACCCCAGCCAAGTAAAAAATAGAGCTCTAGACAATAACAAATGTATGCAAAGAAGGCAATAAAATTGCAGCTCCTGCCTGAGCTAAAGGTTAATTTGGTTTCAGACTAAGTTAAGCACTAATAAGTATAAGATTAGCACTTCATTTCAGGGAAAACACCGTGCTGTCTGTGACCTCATTTTGGAGAAAGTCACCTCATCCATTCCCTTGTTATCCTACATTAAAGGAACTGATCCTCTGACTGCATTTATTTCCCCACGGATCCTTTGTTCAAACCCCAGGGCAGTGTTTCTGTTGCTGTCTCACAGAATCTACCGCAAAACAGAAGCCATTTGACATGGTTTGGGAAGGGGGAAAACTGCACCAACAGTGTTCAAAAGGTGGTGGGGGGAGGTCACTGTATTCTCAAACTAGAGGCTCAAGCACCTCTTATGACTGGGCTCAAGCCCCTCTTGGAATACCAGTTGTCTCCAAATCCAGCAGAACTTGGGGGGCTCTTAAAGCTTCCTAATTTAATGACGGACATGGGCCAAACCTCTAATAATCACTTCAGATCACTCCAACCGTGTGACAGGAGCAAATGCTGTGATATACAAGGACATACACGAGGTCTTGTAGGCTTTCCAGTGCCAAAGATGGACAGTCTGGTTGTATGTGACCAGCATCTCCATAGTGCTCTACCTGCAGCTGCCTCGTGCTCAAATGAGTGCTGCTCTCCCCTCTGG